TTGGTCCTTCCTAAATAAACTTACAAGATTGGTTCTCTGGGTCAAAGTTATCAAGCGTTGCGCTATATTTTTAAACATGATTATAATAGCTGTGTTTTATCTAATTATTTTTCCTTCTTTAGGTACATCTCTTCTTCTTCTTTTTAAAATTAAAATTGTTGTCTGCCAAAAGTTTCTGATTTCAAGAGTTCCCATTCCCGATTGGTCGTGTGATTCTACGTAAGCAAGTCCTATGGTGACTAACATAACAATTATCATTGGATTATTCGTAAACATGGAACTCAAATTCATCTTCTTCTTTATTTTATTTAACACACTGTTATGTGCACCTTTTACCTACAGCGCCATTTTACCCCCATTTTGGCTTCAGTGAGTATTCTCCCAAATTCTGAAGTATTCAGCCTTCACTTCAAGACTTGCCACCATCCAGACAAAGGTTTTCTAGTGCTGTTAAGATTTTATTTATGAATATTTGAGCAACAAGGTATTTCGTATTTCGTAAACAATGAAATAAAGGGCAAATGAATAAATATGAAGTAAATATTTAATTTTATAGATGGCAAAGATCAATACATAAGGAGAGTGAGGACACAGCTACCATGTTCGACAAAAACATTGATCATGAAAACGACTTTAACAGAAAATCCTGTCAATAAATAAAACATAGCAAAAAAAAATTGGCCTATGCTTCCCAAAAGCGAATATGGTAAGTGAGGGCACACAGAAACAGTTTGAAACGGAGGGATATTGTTCTAAGGTGGAGGAGGACGATATGCTCTTCGAAATACTTGAAAATCATCATTAAGATTATCGATTGTCACTTGCATTTCGTCAAGCTGAGCTTGTTGACTGTCAAGTTGATCTTGTTGTTTTTCAAGAGTGGCTTGATTTTGACGAGTGCCTTTGAGAATTTCCAACAACAGATCACGATTGGTGCATTTCAGAGTTGGAACTTCCTCATCTTCAGTACTGTCATCACTTTCTGGTTCTTCTTCATCCCCATCATCAACATCCTCAATCTCTTCTCCTCTAGCTCTAGCCTCTTCGAACTTTCGTTGCCTAGGATAAAACCACTCACCGTTTGAGTCCCTTTTTAGCCCCATTTGGTCAAGATTGAAAGCATCGAGTATATCTCTTGGGCCTTGTTTGGCTGATTCACTTTGATCAAGTGGAACATGTTTATCCATGAAGATGTGAGTGAGAACCATGGCATAGTGGAGGGGACTCTTTTTCTTTATCTTGCATGCGAACATGTGATGAAAAATGATATATGCCAAATCAAATACTTTTCCATTTAACACGCACCAAATCAAAAAGATTTCCATGTGAGAGACTTTTGAGCGGCTGCCGGTTTTAGGAAGAATGGAGTATGCAATGATTTTGTGGATCAAGCGAGCTTCCATGGTTAATTGTTTGGATTTGACCTCTTTGGTATTGGTGGTGCGGGAATCATAGCTCATTTGACGAATTGCTGCTAGTTTGTCAAAACCTTCCCCGCTGTACCATCTTTGTGGTGAGTAGAATTGAATACCATCCTTAAGATGAAGAATTCTGGCAATGCTGCTAACATCAAGATGGAATACTATTCCAGCCACATAGCATTGAAGTCTCTCTACACCGGGCATTTTCTCAAGGTGGGTGTAGAATAATTGCACAAGTCTAGGATAATACTTCTTGTTCATCCCAACAAATGCACCAAGGCCAATAGCATCGAAGAGTTTATAGGTGTTGAGGTTGAGGTCGTCACAAATTGTCTGTGACAAAACTTTTCCTTTGGCCACTTTCCTAAGATTGAAATTTTTTTCATATAACTTCTTGTATGTAGGAGTTCGATACAACATTGTTGCAGAGATTTGAATGGGAGGATTTTCTTCACTAGGGCCGGATTCATGATCATGGGTACGTCTACTATTCCTATTTTGGCCACGAGAAGGATTTTTTCTACGTGAAGAGGAAGCCATAGAATAGAAATTTTGAATGCTCAAGAACCATTCAATGGAAATAAAATTTAAAATTCCAAGAATTTGTGCAAATAAAAACTAATTTTATTTGCACATCCAGTCAAGTTATGAGTGCTAAGAAACTTCATTCTAGAGACCCCAGAACAGTTAATGAGCATCAAGCAAAAAGGTTTTGGAATTGATAAAATCAGCCTTAAAATGTCAACCCAAGATGGAACTTGAATGGAATCGTACTAAAATTTGCAATTTAGAGCATAGATTCACAAAGCCAACCCAATTTGTGTTCAAATCAGTATATAATATTTCTAGGGTTTTGAGGGTTTGACAGATATGAGATTGATAAAGATACAAATAGATATTCAAGCTTGAATAATGATGCCAATGAACATCAAGAAAGCATGAATTCAAGAGAATGAACAATGAAATCTTACCAAAGATGATGAATTTAGTATTTGTGAAGAAGAAAGATAAATGGCGAATTTAGATGAAATGAGCATGATGAAAGAGCAAAAGAAACAAATTAAGAGCAGGAATATATATAAATTGAAGAGGGAATTTCATGGATTTAACATACCAGTGAAGGAACCCATCATATGGAAGAATTCGCCCAAAGCAAGATGAAGTCTCTTAAGTCAGTTTGCTCTCTGGAATGTTTCAATAATGAATAGAAATTAGGAAGTGCCGAGATATAATGGGTCAATGAGACACTTGAAGGGAGCCGGCTCAACCATATCATGGAGCCGGCTCAACCATATCATGGAGCCGGCTCAACCATGATCATGGAGCCGGCTCTTGAATTTTTCTCAATTTTCTGCAAGTTTTTGCAATTGAAGATGCAAAAGGATTTGGAGATTGATGTGCTTATAAAATATATGGAATGAGACTAAAGGATAAGAAGATTGATGTGCTTAGTTGGAGTCGGTGGTTCCAACTAATTCTAACTTTTTTTTTCCATCCATATCAGTGGTTAGGTTGTATATAACTTCTACCACTTTAATTCTTGACTACTACTCAAACACTAATTTCTTGCATATGTTACATAGAACTAGTTAAATTTAGATCATTCAGAAACATAAAATTTGTTTATATTCCAAAAATCTAAATCATTCACATATCGAAATGGGTCAATGAGTTAGGAATTTAGTAGAACAAACTACTACTAAAAGAGGGATGAAGCAATGAGAATAAAATTTCCAGACATGACATGCATACACACCATGAGGTAATGAATACATGTTCAAATTATTTCATATTTTAGCAGTCAAATACAACAAATCTACCTCCCATATGATTGCTGACAAATCTACCAAATTTACAATAGATACTGCAGATTAATAGACTATGTAGTCCATTCAACATAAAGAAAGATTTTTATTTTTATTTTGAAAAAAAGAAGGAAAAGAACAAAAAAGAAAAGAAAAAGAAGTTAACAAACAAGATTTCAAGCTGAGGTAGAAAACATAGATAACGATTGTTGATGATGTGTTTCAAAGAATAAATAAATAAAATAATGATCATTGTAATCTATAAAAAATAGTCATCACAGTATTTTTAATCCCAAATTCTGACCAATATCCGTATTACCCCTGAAATACAAACATGTAAATGTGATTGTCCTCAATTTTCTATGACATGATGAATTTCTCATTCTAATTTTCAAGATAAAATAAAATCGTACACAAAAAGTACTGTATTCTCCCCATTCCCTAGTTCGCTAGATGCTAACAATGTTCCAACCTAACTCTTCATATATGGCACAATTGCCAGGGCCTTCTCTAAAACCTCAGTCTTGCCTCTAGTGTCATCACATGCCTCTGACCCTACCTCTTTGAAATTTAAACAAGTATACATACTTAGCAGCTGCAACACATCATTGCCTTTTCATATCATGTATCCAGTACTCTGATCCCTTCCTTCCCCACTCCCATGCTCTTACATGCATACCCATCATGCATGTAAGGAGAGTGAATGATTGAGAGGTGCCGAGTGGAGCCGGCTCTTCCTTTTTGTAGAGCCGGCTCCACAATTTTTTTGGAGCCGCCTCAACTAATTGCTGGAGCCGGCTCTCTTGGGCATTTGAGAAATCCCGAGAGTTGGTGTATGCAGGCCAATAAAGGAGCCGGCTCAACCTATTTCTAGAGGCGGCTCTTCTTGGAGATGCCGAGAGCTCCAATTTAGGGAAAACAATAGAGCCGGCTCTTCCTTTTTGTGGAGCCGGCTCTATTGTCTGCAGTGGAAGATCCTGAGAGTATAGACATTGAGAATTTTTACAATTAGTCTGTTATGCATTTCTAAAGATGCAAATTAAACATCACTGTTAACACTCGGTTTATTCTAATACAGTTAAATTCAAATATTGTTGTTTCCTTTTTTTTCTATGTCATTTCGGTTTTTTTCTTCTACAAATGGAACCATTTGAAATCTCCATTCTCATTTGTTAATATTTTACCAGATTTTGCAGTTTGAGCTTCATATGTGATATCATCATCTTCTGAATTTAATGTTGGGAGGTGATAAATGTACTCTAGCTAATACACTGCACTTGAATATGAAATTACAACAATAACATTTTAATTAATCAGAGTATAAAGAATATTTTTGTCATTTAATTTTAGTGAGGAAAAAAAAAAAATGAGAGTGCATCCATCATTTTTTTCATTATATTGATCAAGTTCAGGGTTGGATAATGTAGTCCTCATGTGGTTCTCACATGATGCAGTTCTTACTATGATTTGGCTGTTGCGGCCTGTATGGTAGTTGAAGGGAGGTGACTAATTTCTCATAATTGGGGTTGACAACCTTAAGTATAGCATCAATATATTGAATTTGGAAAATAAGTATAGCATCAATATATTGAAACTGAAATTTAAGTATAGCATCAGTAGTATATGCTGTAATTCGAAGCAAAGAAATCTATTTCACTCTGCTTTGATAACCACTAACACAACTGCAATTTCAAAGGAAAATGAATGCTACGCAATCAACAAAAGAAACCTCAATAACCACAAACATCACCTGCTAAATAAAACCAAGAGACCAGAAATATAATCATTATAAAATTCCATAACCAAAAGAGTAGATAATAATAATTACATCATAGTCAAGTTCCTAGATTTACATCATTGTAAAAGGTTTCCAATACATACTTTTTCCGTAATATAGCAACACAAAGTTTCACCAACAAAAAAGGAATTCATTGCATTCCCAGAAGTGTTTCTCAAAAAAGGAACCTATACCCAACAAAAAGAAAGACTACCCATCATCAATCACCATCATGTTGAACCATACATCATTTTCTCCAAAATATTCTTACGCTTTGCAACTGGAACACCAAGGAATATCCTCGTTTGATCAGGATGGTTAGCGAGATAAAAGTAAGCATCATCAATTAAAAATAGCTCAAGTCCAATTGATTCTAGCTCATTATAGATTTCCTCCTCCGAATGCACCTTACGATTATATTTTCCATAAAGAGCATTTCCCTCTTTAATAGATTCTGCAACAGAGGAAATTGCATTTGCTATGTCTTGGGTATCATTAGAGACACCACGTGAAGACCGTTTCCTCTTTCCTTTTGCACTTGAAGATGCAATAGAAGTTGCCTTAGGGGACATTGTCCTTTCAATCTCATCAGCCACATGCTCAACATTTTCCAAAGTCACCTCATTTTCTGCTACTAGCTGATCAATACCATCAATACTTCCCATTAACTCGTCATTGGTTGAGCTAGCCCATTGAAAACGTTTCTCCTTAGCAGTTGCAGCCTCATCACCCGTCGCTCTATCTTTTGCAAACAACTCTAGCAACTTATCATAGTTGTTAATAGGTGTAGTTCTCCATTTCTCCGCTTGCGGTTTTGCCTATTACAAGCATATAAAAATATATATATATATGCTAAACATTTCATAGTGTAAAACATTCTTTGGGTAAAACAACGACACTAGAACAACATAGAAAAAACATTTCAAGAGTTTCCATATGAATTAGGCCTTAAACATAGAGTTAATAGTAAAAATAACTCTAAATTAATAAAAAAAAAAATAGTACCTCAATCAATGAATTCCAAACCTCTGGCTCCGCACTCCACATCTTTGTCTCACGACTCCAAGCAAATCCGCTCAATCCATTCTTAAACAGGTCATACCACTCATTGAAATGAGTCTTTATAGTCTTCAATCGATTCTTAATCCTATCTTTGGTAAAATCCATTTCAAGTTTTGCACACAATTCTTTAACCATTTCATCATATGCTTTGCTAGTAAAAGTTCCATCAACCCTATTCCCTTTAATATGTTGGTAATACAGCACATCAATGAATGCATCTTCCATTTGTTGCGTCCAAACAAACCTATCTTTCTTGTTCCCTTCATTTTTGTTTGTTGTGTTACTCATTTTCTTATCTACATAAGAAATTAGCAAATGAGTAGAATCTAATGTAAAATTTCAAAATAGAGTGTGACCAACAAAAATAATAATAATAATAATAATAACATCATGACAAACAAATTAACATGAGTAATATAAGATATCGACTATGCTTTTTCTTCTTTAACAATATATCATCAAATCAAACTTGAGCTACCAATAAAGTCTTAGTAAAGACCAAGTACTTGTCATAAGAGAAAATAAATAAAACTAGGGTTTTAAGCATTTATCAAACAAGCAAAAGATTTAGACTTATAACACACATAACATTAGTCACATTTGATTTGCTACATAGTCATTCCACATGTTCATTGCAATGATGTCCCTTATATGTTCTCCTTCAACAATATCCCTTGGAGTTCGATCATCATCTAGATCTTCATCTTCATCTTCATCTTCAACTTGAACTTCAACTTGGTTTAAGAGTTCCCGATCTACCAATATGTCTTTCATCAGGATCAACGCCCATTAAATAATTATGCAGAATGCAACATGCAAGGATAATCTCTGTTTGTGTTTCGATTGAGTAAGTGGGCTCAGTTGTGCTTCCTATAATTGGAAATCGTTTCTTTAATACGCCAAATGCTCTCTCGATCGCATTACGTAACGACGCATGTCGTAAGTTAAACAATTCCCGAGGATTTTCAGGTCGATGTGAAGCAAATTCTTTCAAGTGATATCGAACACCTCTATAAGGCGTGATAAGTCCACCTCGTAGCATATATCCACCATCAACAAGATAATATTTACCTATTAACAATAAAAGTTGTTATCATTGAATAACTATAAATCAGAAAATAATATTTTAAAAATTTTATATAGAAATTACCTTTAGGGATTCTCAACTTATCCTTTCTTTCAAATGCACTCTTAATTACTCTCGAGTCTGATGCAGTCCCTTCCCATCCAGGCAAGACATATGTGAATCTCAAGTCAAATGAACAAGCAGCTAACACATTTGTGGTTGGAAAATTCTTTCGACCACGATATCTTGGAGCGTCTTCAGTAGGTACTCTCACACGAACATGTGTTCCATCAATCGCACCCACACAATTCTGATATAAATTTATTTTATAAATTTTTTATATCAACATATGTATAAAAATTTTAAAATAAAATTATAATTTTACCTTGAAGTATGGATAGAACCTACTATTGCTAAGTATCTCCGGCGGGATTTGTAAACCATTAGGCTGTCGGAGAAATTTTTCTTCTAACGAGATTATTGACCTTAACACACTATGGAAATGGCGACTTGTAGTTTCACCGGAGCGACGAAAAAAAAACTGAATCGTGCGATTCCTCACATTGTGTGATAATATGTGAAGAAATTTTGCAACTTGTTCTTCAACTGATGCATTTTTTGTTGCCTTAAGACCAGCATCCCTTTTAAGAATCTCACATAAATTTTGGAAAGTCTCTGGTCCCATTCGAGTTATATCACGACATCTTTGATTTGTCCTAAGTTGGTTCATAAGTTCATTTCGTACCATTTCTCTTTCAAAAGTTGATTGTCCAATGAGTCGATTAACATAGTTTCTCCTTTGAAACTTTTTCCGTAAAAGCCAATACACAACCAAACAAATAACTTGAGTTGCAGCCAAACGCCTTCTTTGTTCCCACAAAAACCATTCATTTGTTGCCATATTATTTCGCCTCTCCATCTACCATTTCAAGACTTGTTGTCACCCTCAAAATTCAATAAGTGTAGATTAATAAAATAAGGGTATAAGACACACTCAACAAATATATGATGTTCTGATAGTATATATATATAAGAATACCCACCCAAACATAACCTATGATAATTATATGACACTTATGATCAGACATAAACAAATTGATTATGTTGGTATTGCAACAAAAATCTAGTTGCAATATTTCAAATAATGACCATAATAAGACATAATTCGGACTGTATCAATGACATTCTCATTATGGCATGCTGTTTTTCATAATATTTCATGTCCATAATCGCCCACTACAACTTCATAACACCTGACCAGGGCGTGAAATAAAAACAGAATATGCATTTTTTTTCTTCTCAAGTTTCCTAGTTGCTTTTAAATCCCTCAGGAAATAGGAACAAAACTTTGCAAGGACTAAATTTATGTCAAAAGGCACTGGGACTGCATATTAGTGGGGTTATTACAGTTTGCCATGTGAGTTCTCCCCCCTACAGAATAAGGATTATCAAGTCTGTGTGTGTGTGTGTGTGTTTTTTTTTTTTTCTTTCTAAATTCACATTAACTATAACAAAAAGATAAAAGAGAGAAACCCACAAAATTACAGAGTTCACAAGAAAACCATCGACATAATTAAAGATAATCGCAGGAATTTTTTTCCGTAGAATATAACAAATCTCCAACTGTATACGGACAAAGAGGAAAACTTAGATGGATTGAAGAAACACACCTGAACATCCAATACTCCAAGAAGATGATGAATTCAGATGAATTTTCGAACGGTTTGCGTAGCTCCAAAGCCGGTGTTTGTAAACCAATGAATTTAACAGTGACGCTTTCCCTTCTATCTCTATCATCAACTTCCTACTCCTGCACAGAGACCATGCAGTGAACCCACTTCCCCCTTTTCTCTCTCCTGTTTCTTCTTATACCAGTGAATTTTGGCGCCTTTATTCCCGCGCCTTCCTTTGTTCCCGCGCTGAAGACAGGGCCCTAACAAATATGAAGAGCAAATTTGAGGGTAAAATTGGCCTAACAAATATTTTGATAGCCATTGCCTGCCATTCCCTTCCCTTTCCTTCCTTATCATCCCAATTATGAAAGGTTAAGAAATTACTGTACGCCTTCTTATAAATAACCCTCCAAACCCCTCCCTCTCCTTCCCTTTCCCTCCACTAACTTTACCCAAACACAACTTTTTTATTACCCTCCATCCACTTCCCTTCCCTTTCCCTTCAAACCCATCCTACCAAACTGACCCTAAAGGCAGCCCCCTCTTCTTTGGATTTTCAAAGGTTAAAAGCTTATTCTGCATTGCCAGACAACAAACCAGAGAAGCTCTAGGTCTCGCTCCACTCCAACAAACTGAAAACCACTGCACCTCTGGGTGTGGATTTCTCCACCTATTCCAAACATTTCCAAAAGTGAAGACACCATGTCTCCACTGAAACCTGTCATCACCTTGCTTTAATGTCAGTGAGAGAGCAAAGTTCTTGAACTGGTGTAAAGTATTGGAGTTCTGATGTGGGAATTGCCACTGACCGTTCTGAATAATGGAAGATAATTTTGCTTGCTTGGCCAAATCAAAGTCTCTATGGACTCTATGAAACATAGAATTTGATTTCCCTCCGTTACTTTTCTTTTCTTTTCTTTTCTTTTCCTTCCAATACTCTCCAACCAAATTGGGTCTGAGGTACTCGAACTCTTACATTTTCCTCTGAGAGGGAGAGATACCACTATCCCTTCGCCCTTTGGTACCTTTTAAAATAAAAAAGTGGAGAGTACAAGTTCTTAGAAACGATAGTGAATGTATATAATCTTGTGAATGATTAAAAGAATTTAAAAAACAAAAATTGAGATTTTTATAAGTAATTTGAACTTAATTTGCTAAAAAAAAAAAAATTGACTGGTGTTTGATTATTAATTATGAGTCAAATTCAATTATTTTATGTAATTTTTAAAATTTTTATACTTGATAAAAAAAGTATAAAAATATAAAATCTACTATAATTATATAAATACAAAAACAATATGTTCCGCGACTTCACAAAGCAAGGTTAATTTTCTAAATTCATCAAAAAGTGCAAACCAACATAAATTGAGCTCACAAATGAACCCTCCCACACTCACGCATATTAACGAAGAGAATTATTGGCATTCTATTTTTTATAATTAAAAAAAAAAAGACAATTGTCATCTAGAAGCATTTTCACTCCCCTAAATTATTAATGTTTTAATAGTTATTTAGTTATTAGAAAATAAAGTGAAGAATAGAATAGGGTGCAATTAAAAATAAATAAAAATTATGGAGAGTCAATATCAAAACATTTATACGATAGGCATATGCTTCAATGACATAACCATCACATTCTCAAAATACAATGGAAGAGATTCGAGCTCAAGTGTGAGTAAAATATGTGTATAATTAGAGATACGAGTGCGTAAATAATAAAATTGAAATTACAAAACCGACCCTCGTTTAAAAGAATGACGTGACTTAGGATACATGTCAATATTTTTTGTCAATGTAAAAAATAAAAAATAAATAAAAACCAAAACATTATGGAATGGTAGATTTGTCAGGTAGAAGAATTTATTTACCTGGTGGTGGGGCACACATGGAAAGTAAAGTATTTGAAAACTTTGATGTGAATGTAGATGGCCGTACAAGTCCCCAATCAATGTCTACTAAAATTGAATGTGGAATGCATAGGAATCATGTGAAAGGTAATAGATACAGTAGGCACAAAGTCTATCGTTGATGACAGAGCTGCTTGATGGATGCCTGAGATACCAACTCGTTTGGATCCTGCATAACTGTCAAATGAGATTATACTTTGATCTCCTCATAATATGGTTTGGTATTTTTGATGTGGAAGCATTGCGTGTGATGAACCTCCAATGTAGCATATATCTCGCCTTTTGAAATCAGTTAGCTTAGTCGGAGCCCGGGCGCACACATATTGATACGGAGTATATACGGCTTTTTCAACTTATTAATGGAGCCTCTAAAAATTGTAAATTCTATATTCGCATTTGTAAGAGTCACGTTAGTATTTTAGAGTTTTTAAATTTTAGCTATGACATGTATTTTAATGATGCATTTTTATTCTCCACAAATATTAATATTTTTAAAATTTTTAATTAATTTTATTTTTTAACTTTTTCCTAACGGTTATATTTTCAACGACTATATCGTATAAAAAAATTTAAACAATGCAATATTTATTATGAATTATAAAAATTAAAAGAATACAGTACGATATGAATTTAAAAATAATAATAATAATAATAATAATGCAATACCATTATTAAAATCAACTAGGAAAAATACAACAATCATTATATTTGTAGGTTGAAGAGTAGAGAATAGAGTAAGAGTTGATTTATTTATAAAGGAAAAATGAAAAAAGAAAAATAAATAAATAAATATATATATATATATTAAAAAAAAATTCAAAAAATATGTTTTTGTGCCAATATAGCCATTAAGACATTGATTGGGTCAGCTAAACAGTGCCTAAAAAGGATATAATGTTAGGAATATTGAAAACTTTAAAAAGGAAAAAAAAAAAATTCATTTTTCTCCAATTTTTTTAAAACTTGTTTGTGCCCAAAAAAGCCTTTAAGACAGTGCCTCAACAGCTCTTTGGTTCAATTATGTTAAAGGAAAAAAAATGCTAAAAAACTAGTTTTTGGAAGAAAAAAAAGTTCATAGCCAAACACGCCCTTAAATTTATTCCGGGCTACAGTATTGTTGGGCCAGAAAAGTTAAAAACCAAAAAAATGGGCGGGCTTGCACAAGACAGCCTACAATAGCTAACTGGGTTGCCATTTTTGGCGACCTATTCCACGACCCAAAAAATAGGGCTTATTTTTTGGAGAATCCATTGAACTGGCCCAATAGTTAGAAAAGCCCCAAATCTCTAAAAACTGGGTCGTTGGAGCTGCTCTTAATAGACGTCTAACGGGTAGCTCAGTAGTATCAATTTCCTACTTTTTAAAGGTAGGTAAGTGGTCCAAGCCTCAATGAAGGCATAAGTGTGTAAGTACCAACTAAAAAAAAAAAAACTTATTAATAGACAATGATTTTCTTTTCTTTCCTTCATTTTTTTTAAGAATAAATTACACTGAATTTTTCCTTGAAGTTTGTCCAAAATCTCTAAAAACTGTTTGTTGGAGCTGTTCTTAATAGACGTCTAACGGGTAGCTCAGTAGTATTAAGCTCCTACTTTTTAAAGGAAGGTAAGTGGTTCAAGCCTCAATAAAGGCATAAGTGTGTAAGTACAAACTAAAAAAAAAAAAAAAAAACTTATTAATAGACAATGATTTTCTTTTCTTTCCTTCATTTTTTTAAGAATAAATTACATTGAATTTTTCCTTGAAGTTTGTCCTAATTACACGACATTATGCATTTTGTTGCAATGTCCTTCTACGTGATAGTAAAATTGGTAGTATTGCCCACATCTCTCATCTCTCCTCATGCTTCTTCTCTCGCTTCGTGCTCTCTCTCCTTTTCATTTCCTTCGGCTGCCACCCCCATTTGGTCGTCTACCATCCCTCTTTTCACTCTTCTATCTTCTTCCCACTTTCAATCAATCTCCCTCTCTCCAAAATATTCTCCTATATTCATATAACTCCATTTTGAAACTTCATCCAAAGTCACAACTTTTTTCCTTTCTATCTCTCTATCTAGCTTTCTTTATCGTGTTCAATCCTATCATGCATGTAGTTGTTGCAAATAACTTAACAGTAAGAGAACACTTTATATAAAAGGGCGGAGCCAGTGTATGTTGATGAGGGCACATGCCCCCTTGGCCTGGCCCCACTTATTATAATACATATACGAAATTTATGTATTTTTATATGTATATATGAAAAAATTCATATAATCCCCACTTCTAAAAGTATCTCTTAAATTTTATATTTCTTCTCTTTATTACTCTTTAAATTCGTTTAATTTCCTTAAAAAAAATTCAATCTTTCCTTTTTGAATCAAAGTCCAATTTTTTTTTTTTTTTTTCCTTTTAAAGTTTTCTCATTTTTCTTTCTTTTTTAAATTTTTTGTTAACTATATATCTTTCTTAAACGACTCATTAGTTGACATATTATTTAAAGTAATTTTTCTTCTTAGCCTCTTGATTTGAAGAATCTATATTTATTGTCATGTAAATTGATTTTTTTTTTTTTTACACTGTGCCCCCCTGGATTTAATTTTTGTCTCCACCCCTGCTTATGTACAACGACTAGAAACCAACCTATATCAAACCAGATCCAAACGCTTCAAAAATAGCTTTTATCCAATCCACTTGTCGTAAATATGTGTTTATGTACATATATACATACATAATTGGTTGTGCAAAATGTGTTTGGGTTTATATATATATATATATATATATATGTATGCTCCTATGTATAAGTACCACGGGTTTGGGTGTTTTAGATGCAACTACATAAGCACCATGGGTTTAGGTGTTTTAGATGCAACAAGTTGGTTTGTGGAGGAAATGGGTTTACTGCTTTGCTTTTCATAGATTGTAAATTTAGGTTTAGTTTGGTACGTAGAAATGAAATGGAATGGAATGGAATGATATGAAACGAGAATAAAGTTGGGAATAAAATAAAAATTGAAATGGAATGGAATGGTCATTCTCATTCCATTATTTGGTTGCAAATATGAAATGATGTAGAATTGAAATGATAATCATCATTATAAGTAGTGGTGGAAGAAGACGATAATGGAAGTGATGTAAGGCGGCAATGGCGATGGAAGGCGGCGAAAGACAATAATGGTGAGGGAAAGTGGTGCGGTAGTGAAAGGCAGTGGTGACAACGACAATGGTAGTAGCGGAAGGTGGTGGCCGCGATGGAAGGAGGTGGTAATCGAGGAAGGCTGCAACAGTGGCGATGGAAGGTGGCAGCAGAAAGTGGTGGCAACGATGGAAGACAATAGTAGTGGCAGAAGCAGGTGATAGGGATGAATGGTAGTCACAATGGTGGTGGCGAGGGAGGCGACGGCGAGGGAAGACGGTAGTGGTGACGGAAAGTAGTAGTGGTAGAAGGCGGTGATAGTGGCCAAAAATTTCATTCTTTGGAATGAATTTTCATTCCATCAGTTTAGATGTGGAATAGATTTTTCATTACTAGGAATGAATTTCATTCAAAGGGAATAGTCATTCCTACTTTAAATGTC